TTATAAATAAGCACGCGGCATTGGAGGGAACACAACATACATTCCATTAGAAAGGCTTGAGAGAGAAAGAGAGAGAGGGAAAAAGCTAAGAAAATAGATAAGCTGCTTAGATGAGATGGATGGACGGTACCCTCACATAGCTGTAACTACCTGACTACTTAAAAGAGAGAGAAAGAGTGTATTGAGGGCTGTTCACCTCTTTTTAATGAAAATGACCTTCAATGCAGGAATATGAGAGGCCCTCCTCTACAGTCAAAAGAAGGTTTGCTTTCTATGCCAGGCCTTATTTTGCTTGTCTTTACATTATTGCCCTCCACTAGGGCTTTATTTATACCTCCACATACATCATTTTATGTCATACATACTTTTGATTAAGATTAAGAGAAAATAATTACACTTAAATGGACCTTAATTATGGCTCAATCCAAATATAGTAAACGTAAACATCATTGTGAAACAAAAGTATATATGTAGTAGAATCATTATTGTTTGTACGTGCTTGTCTTTTATTTTTTTTGAAAGGGTTAGTTTTGAATAATATGCATATTATGAACTTTTATAGTTTTATGTAATTTGGGGTGACTGAAATCAAGTAACGAGTTGCTTTTCTTACAGCTCTATAGCCACCAATGGCATCACAACAACAATATACATATATATACCTATAAGCTGAATAAGTAATACATTTACAAATTCACATACATTTGAAGACTAGTCTAACAAACTCTCAGGTCCCAAAGGTAAAGCAGAAAAGAAGAAAAAAAATGTATGTACAACATTAGAAAAGTATCCAAATAATTGTGACATTAATGATATTTGTGAAATATTTTATACATATCCGGGTGTACCGTGTATCCGATTAATCCAAAGTTATAATTAGTTTTTGCTCTTCATTTGAGAACAAAATGCTCATGGGTGTATCGTGCACCTTGGTGTAAATAACAATCTCTCTGATATTTGGGATGATTAGGCTGTTATATACTTATGGAGTACAAAACTTAATTATTCCATAAATTTAATTTATTTTTAATTAAAATCAACTAAAAGTCTTCAAAAAAATTTAGTTGATTTTAATTAAAACTTATACAAGTACAAATCATTATCAATAATGGGAATTGTGACTTAAAACTTAATTAAAAATATTATTTGATTTTAGTTAAAACTTATACAAGTACAAATCATTATCAAAACTTAATTAAATTTGGGTTGTTTGGTTACACAAAGAAAATGGGGGAAGTGGAAAATTATGGGAATTTAAAAATATAAGAGTTGTTTGGTTGACAATAAAAAGTGTAAATGAGGGAATTGCAAATTCATGGGAATTGTGACTTCCCACAAAACATGGGAAGTTAATTACCCAACCCCCCTAGGTAAGTCAAAATTCCCATGATTTACAACTTCCTTCATTCCAACTAAACAAACTTACACAATTCCCATGAATTTGATGTAGTAATTTAATTCCCATGAAATACAAATTTTTATGGGAAGTAAATTCCCATAGCAACCAAACGACACCTGATTGTAAAGCCACAAGTTGTTGAAGAAATATCCAAATTATTGCCAGTAATTAGAAATAACAAGTCACACTTTGCTGAAAGAAAAGGTTGAACACCAAAATCCAAAAATCTAAACTTTAGAATACATCACTTGTATATATACATCATATCCTATAATTTGTCCTATAACTTGAAACCAATGATGTTGTAACAACATAACAACGAACTGCGAATTTCGCCTACGGATGGAAGAGTGCAGGTTATCTTTCTAATGGTTGGTTGGAACATTGTCATCAGAAAGACAAGTTTGTATAGTACTGTAAATGATAACGATTTCGAGTCCAGGTTATTGCTGTCCTCAGGTAGAACTATTGTACATGAGATCTGGGGTCGTAGTTGAAGTGTGTGTCTATTTCTGTGTGATCGTATTACTCAAACCAACAAGACGCACCTTTTATGTTTTGAAATATGCAAATATGTTAAGATGATTAACAGTTAATTGGGGATGAAATGGAGTATATGAGTGATTATTGTCTGATAGAATAGGGCTCAGAGAAAGGGTGAATAATGATTTTATGGGGTTAATAATTGGTTTGTAAGGCTGAAATCTTGTAATTTAAAAAGGACTGTATAGTAATTGTTGGAACAACAAGTGTGTAGTGTGTGAATTTTGTGAAAAAAACTCAAAGTCCCACATTGGTGGGAAATGAGAGTTTTACTCTCTTTATAATATAGAGAGTGGGCTAAAGGGGTGTGGCCCTTGGGCTACCCACATTTTGTGGGGAGGGAGGACCTATATATGGTAAACCATATATCACACACGCGCGCCGAACCGAGCCGGGCTGGGTCGGGTTTGGGTTATTAAACAAACTTGATTTTTGTTACCGGTTTGATTAATATTCAGTTACAAAACGTTTTACTGTTTTGGTTTAAATTTTTCCGTTACATTGCTTGATTCTCGTTGCTGTTTTACTGCTAAACGTTGCACCGTTACACTGATTTAATGCCTTGATTCTTGCTTAACGGATACACTAATTGCAGTAAACTTGGTTTAAAGTGGGACCGGGCCAAACTTTAGTGACAAACTGTAGTGAAAAAACTTTAAGGATGTAGTAACTTCTAAAAAGGGAATATTAATAACCGAGATAATGTAGCAAGATAATAAAAGGACGAATAAATGATTTATTTTTTAATTACTTTTTGAAAGGAGACGAAGTGAGTATTTAATCTCATTGGTTTCCTATGAGACAATAATTGTAAATTCACCATGTCCAGATTACATCTCATAGCACAGACTTTAGATTAAGGATTAGCCTCTTTTCACAGACTTTAGATTAAGGAGTGGCCTATTTTCCATTTCCAAATTAAAACAAAAAGACTTTTTTTTTTTTAAAGAGAGCCACAAGGGCGGGGGTAAGAATTGATCTCAGGATTTCCTGAAGATCTAACCACTTGAGCTATCCCTCACTCTCACAAAAGGACTTTTCATGGAAAGATACACTTTGTTTGGATTGAAAGAAATGGAGGGAAAAGAAATTAAGGGATAAATAATCTTTTATTTGGATAACAAATGAGGAAGGAAGAGAATTGCAGAGAAAAGAAATGAAGGGATCAAATTGCAAGAAATTAATCTCTCCAATAATGGAGAGATTTGGAACCCCTCCCCTTCCCTTCCCAGCCCTTCTCCTCCCTCCCCTTCTTTTCCTCTCCCTTAATCTATACAAACACACTGTAAGTGAACATCATTATAAAAATTACTTCTCCTATTCTATCAGACAGAAAAATTCAGAAAATTCTGCCATATTAGTATCAATTCAATAACATTTAAATATTTAATCAACATATCACGGTATCACCTGTTTAATGGCTCAACAAATTATGATAAATTAAAATAAATTTTATGATTTTTTTTTTTTTTTTAAAAAAAAAAAAGTAAAAATAGCCCTTGAAAAAATGGAGTACACTGCTTAATGTGTAGGTATGCAGTGTTTAAAGGGCCCAAGTGCAGCATATGGTTTCAGAAGTTTTTTTTGTATCAGATTCATATAGGGTTTAGAATGGTCAATACCTGTACTTATTATTGTCTTGTGTGCTCAACAAACATGAGCATTGCAGAATTGAAGAGCCTTCAAAATATCTTGTACATCATTACAGTACACATTAGGGAGGGAACTAGGGAGTCGAGGGACATATGACTAGGACGGGACTTTGTAATGCTTGTGGATTAGTACTATGAGGTACAAGCATTAGGGCACATGAAGGTGAGATTATGAGGACATAATATTAGTATATTGAGCGGAGCCTAATCGTACATACTTTTTTTTTTTTTTTTTTTTTTTTGACGGAAACTAATCGTACATACTTAGAATAAATACGAGGTATAATACTTCATACGGTAAATATATATATGTTATGTCCTTATCAAAGATATGGACTCTAACAGAATACGTGTTTTGTGTGTACATTTTACGTAAGGCAAAAAGGCTTGATAGGTTGAATCCATTAAATGGCATAATTTTACAATCAACTCAACCACCACAACTCCCTAATAATGTATGCAACACCAAGACAATAGACCCACTTGAAATTCCGATCCACCTCAAGAACAACGTACCACCACAACCATTCAAGGTATAGCCAAATTTTCGCACCACTTCACCACAAGCCTCTCCAGTACTAGAGATGTACGTCCAATATAATATGTATACCAACAAAACGTACTTCATACATTCATACATATACATACGTGATTGGACTATTTTGTTGATCCTCATCTATCGAGACCTACCCAGAGTCATTGTTGGATAGGCTGGTAAGAAAGCATTGAAAAGTTGTGGGGATGGAGGAGTTTGGGTGTCAAAATCCATCTCATAGATAGTCATTTGACTCCCACGTGAAGAGGCCTTTGAAGACACAAAAACTAAATGTTATCATCCACACACTTAGTTACTTCATAAACAACACTAGTATTGTTTTAAGTTCTGGCCATATTGTCTTTGTTGTATTGGTCTTCATTCCCCACCCTTTAATTTCCTTTCCTTTCCTTTTCATGGTTGCTGCTACACAACTCATGCACAACCATCCAACTTTTTTCCTTCCTAAAAAAAGAGATGTGACACTAGCCTAGCATCTTACCTTTAATTTCCCTCATTATATCTTCCTTCCTTCCTCTTCTCATCATCATTCCCATCATCTATTCCCCCTCTTTCCCTTACCTTTCTAAAGCTTAATGTCGCGTCTCTTTCGAGCTCCCCCCCCCCCACCCCCACTTCAATTATTCCCATTATTATGGTATACGGTAGGTCAATTAGCAAATTTTATCTCTTATCCATCTTTCTTAATCACATAGATTAAGTGCATATATGGTATTAATTAGTCTTTATAACTTGTCTTTGTCATTGAACAACATATGGCACATGTGTATGTTAGTGTTTTACTCAATAACATCTCCATTATCTCAAGCTTTGTAGTTGATTCTTTGTTTGCAGAAAAGTAGATTGAAAAAGACGGATCGAACGAGCTCATATCAACTTTGCTTGATGGTACAAGGCACTTGAAAAGAATTGCTCTACTTAAAAAAGTCTTCTTCTAATTTCTATTGAGAGTTCCCTTTCAAATAGCTCGCAGTGTTTCTTTTTAGTTCTTGCATTGTGTGATAATAACGCATAGAATAGTATAGTTTACACCCAATAATAATGTTGAACTCCTCTACTTTGAGCAATAGTACAACTACTTGTACTACTAATCCCATTCTTTATGTGGACAATATATTGAGCTACCTTATTGATGATTCAAACCCGAATTCCAAGCAAGATGATCATTATTCATCTAATCATTACTCTACATCTTACTATCACTTGCCTTCTCCTTTGATTTACAATGAAATTGACGATTTTGTTAGCAACCATGACCTTGAATTCATCCAACAACCCTTCTTAGCTAACAATAGCTCTATTTTGACCGACGATTCCTCCATCTTGGAAGTTGATCATAACAAGGTGGATGATTCAAACAAGGGTGGTGAGGTCGATGGAATAGTAGATGATAATGAAATGAATCACACCATAAGGTCTAATAAGAATATTATTAGTCACGGCGGCTTAATGAAGAGGAAGAGATCTTCCAATAAGGATAGGCATAGCAAGATTAGGACGGCTCATGGTTTAAGAGATCGGAGAATGAGACTCTCCCTTCAAGTTGCTCGCCCGTTTTTCAAGTTGCAAGACACGTTAGGCTTTGATAAGGCTAGTAGAACCGTCGAGTGGTTGTTGATACAATCAAAGTTGGCCATCGAAGAGCTCATTCAAAGCAAGCATGGAAGTCCAAGTGGTGTGACTACCAAGTGCACCACCATATCTTCAACCTATGATGATTGTGAAGTGGATTCGACCATAGTCGAAGAAGAAAGGATAGGGTGTTCTAAGGAGAAGAGAGGGTTGACATCATGTGCTAGAAAAGATGAACTTATGAAGAAGAGAAAGAGAACAACAAAAGAGGAAAGAAAAGTGGCAAGAGAAAGGGCAAAGAAAAGAACATTAGAGAGAAAGCAAAGTAGAGAACAAGTTAATTATAATAATACAAGTATTAAGGAAGGAAACAATAATTATTTTGAAGTTAGAGAAGATCATCATAATATAGTTAATGATAATCTTACAGGAAATTGGAGCCCTTTAACAACTTTAAATTATCAGCAAAGTTTTGAAGTTTGTCATCAAAGTGGTAAATTTTCATAATACCTAATCTTACTATATGCATCATTTCTATATGTTAAACCTATTTATAGCATAAAATTGTTACATGTATTTTTTTATATTTTGATATAGACATATCTATAAATGTATTCATCTAGATTGTACCATTAATTTTTGTTAACTGATGATGGTCATTGCAGCTCCAAGCTACACGATTTCGACACAAGGAAACATGGTGGAAGGCCCACAGCAGTAACGAACACAATGGTTGTATGTCCTAGCTAGCTAGCTAAAATGGTGTACGTTTTTATCTCTTCCAAGTACCATTGTTATCACCTCGAATTCGAATTCGCCAAGGTTTATATTACAGGGATAATTCACTTCCTTTGATGAGGGGTATGTACTATGTGATGTACGAATAGTATGAAAACCTTTTTTTTTTCCTTCTGTCAAGAGTACTTAATTTGATTTACTAAAGTTATTATTGTGTTTAGAATTAATGGTCTCTAATGTTACTTTATTTACTTGGAAATCACTAATAGCTCAAATCAAATGTAAATAAATGTTGCAAGTTGTAAATAGTAGTAACAAATAAATGTAATTGAAGAGCTAATTTCCTTTCAGTTCGTGCTTGTTTCTAAATAACTTGGTAACATTCAAAGTTGAAATGTAAAAATAGTTTAAAAATTCATGTGGTGTCAAACTGTCAATAACTTGGTAATTCAAAGTTGAAGTGCAAAATAGTTTACAAGTCCAATTACTTCCTCCATTTCTTATTATTAGCTATATGTTATATTGTTAAAACTATTAATTGTCAGTTGTACCATTATCTTGATCATGCATAAAATGTAAGGAGATAAGTTAAAGAGATGCTTTATTAATTACTGTACATAATTACATACTGAAATTGAATATTACTCTCATCGTTCCAAGTTAAGTGTTGCATATATATGACTTTAGATTGCGTAAGGAACGTATATTCATTAACATTTTTACTTAGGTATTAATACAAATTATAGACTTTTCAAATGCTAAAATTTAAGTTAAAAGCAGCTTAATCAAGATCACGTTTGATAGTGTTTATTAGCTTATTATACTCATTAGATATAAAGTCAAAGAATTAAAAAACTTGAATTTAAAAAGTCAAATATTGCAGTTATTTTGACACAAATAGATTACATTATAAAGTTTAAAACGACAAGGATAATAGGTCACAACTTCAAAAAATGACGCATAATAGCAATCGCTATCTCCTTTTAAAATGTGAGCAACAAATGTGATAGATAAGCAAAAGATCAACACAACCCACTAATCATTCTTCTCATTCCAAGCAAGCATAATTTTGAGAAAAATATACTTAGATAAGAAGATTATAGTTCACCAATGAGACCAATAATTGAGGTTCATAACAAATAATGAACTTCACATAAATTAATAATTGCACCTTGCACTTTAGAAAGTGATGATATATCCACAGCAACAAATGAATGAAGAAGAAGACAATGTCGTAACTAGTATGGTTTGTTCCTTTGCTATTGTCAAAAAAAAAATGAAAAAAAAAAAAAAAGAATGAAGAATCATCATTTGCATTGCCAATAAGTTTCCCATTCGAAGTTCATCAGCCAATTTCCTAGTTTATGTTCATGTTGAAACTTAATTGCGAGAACAGCACATTGTTCTGTTCAGAGCAATACATAAAATTAAAATTTATGGAATACATTGAATTAGATGCAAAAATTGTACATATATATGTAATTGCTATCAAAGGGGAAAGTATATAACAATAGCAACATGAAAATATGAAATTGTTAGTGGTTCTTATATAATAATAAGAGAATGACTGAATAAAGAGGGTTTAGATTTTCGAAATAGATGTATTTAAGGGTCATCATATATACATGGTTGTTAGGGAAAACATTTCCTTGAAGATCCTTAGAATTGCTGAAAGGGTTGAGAGATTTTGGAACGGGGATTTAAGTGCTTTATAGTTCAAAACTAGATCAACAAGTTTTGTACAAGGCGGACGTTCACTAATTTTATTGAACGACGGTCAATTTGAGGGTAACTTTATCATTTTTTTTTGTAAACTTTAACTCATCCTTCCAGGGTAACTTTTAATATGAAGTATGTAATAATAAGTTTGATTGTATTTTATTAATGTGTATTTTATAATTGATACATGTTATTAAGGCTAATAGGATTAATCTAATACATTATGCATATTTTTACAATACAATATATGTTAAAAAAATATTAACTTTTATAACATATAAGGGTAACACTTAAGAGTAACTTTAATCCATCTTACAATAAGTTAATGAAAGTCTGCTTTATTCAAGAATTTGTGAAACCAGATAACTTTCGAGATTGCCATGCTCGATTTTTGAATTAATGGTAATAGGAATATAGAATTTACAAGAGAAATAATAAATAAATAAATAATGAAGTTTCTAATCAAATTAATTATTCTCATAAAGCAAAAAAGAAAAAAAAATGAAGAGAGTTTGGCTAGGAGGAAAAAGCCTTCCAAAAAACTCCACTTTAGTATAGGTAAATAGATGTGGAACATATATTTGTTTAATTAAATTTTCCCCTCTGTCCTATAGTATAATTTTCGTTTTTATTTTTATGGTCAAACTTTAAAAACTTTGACCAATAAACAACTCTCATTGCTTTATATTTATTTTTTAAAAAAAATGGTCATGTGAGATATTGTTAGATTCATCTTTAGTTTTATACTACCTCCGTTTTACTGAGTGTTACTTAGCTATTATATTGTAGCTACGCAAATTAACCTAGGAAAGTAAAAATAGGGACTAGACATAAAGGTATTTTATATTAAAGAGGAGAGAGATGGAGGGTAAGAGGTTTATTAAATATAACTAAGCCCCACAAAAGGGGGTTTTGGATGATAAAAAATGAATAAAAAGTTGTCATAAAAGGAATAAAGTAAAAGTGAGTAAAACTTAGAAAAACGGATGAAAATGAAAAGTGAGTTAGACTTAGGAAAACGTAAACAATATAATTAACTTTTTATAATTTTTGTTAATAGATAATTAAAAATATTGATGGTCAAACGTAAGTCTTAAAAATCGCGCAAATACAAATGATCGAAAAGTACAATATGGGACAGAGGGAGGAATATCTTTGATGCAAAATCATTCAGGTTGGTTTCTATATGGAAATATTAGGTCAAAATGGATCAAGCCAAGCTTGTGTTGGCATAGGAAGACTTGTGCAGCTTTGTTCTAGTAGCTCTTACCTATAATTGGAGATGGAGTGCATACCCATGTGGCCTACGCAAAATGTAAGCTATGAAGGATAAAAAAATTTAGGTTTAAAAAAAAAAAAAAAAAAAAAAGGATACAAATTTTAAATATTCGGTCACATACTCAATTACTCATAGGTTTAATTTGTGAGCAAATTTGACCCCTAATAAATAGGTTTGGGTATTTGAAAGGTTGAATGATGTCTCGATTGGGTGTTGAGCAGTTTCTTGGTTAATTCTTGGAATCAAGGGCGGAGCTATATTGGTGCACTCTGGTGCACGTGCTCCAACAACCCAAAAAAAATGAAGTTGAATTTTTTTTAAAAAAAAAAATTATTAAAATTACGGGTCTCTTAGATGCTAGTAGTAATAATGCAGTATTCACTCAATCACTCCCGTTATTTTTGTAATTAAAAGAGACCGGTTGTTTTAAACAATAGGTCTCTAAGGTCATTGTATTTTTTTTTCTACTATTAAAAGTAATGGATGGGTACTATTTGTTTGTTAGATGTTATTTGTACCGTAACTTTAGCTTGTAAGATGAATTCCATTACTTTTTTTTGTTGTAGTATGGATTTTTGTGTCTTATTTTTGGATTGAAATCAATTTGGTTGTAATATAATTATATTTTTTTTAAGATAATTTTTGGATTGAAAACAATTATGAACTAGACCCGAATTTTTTTTCTTGTACTTTCATATGTGATTAATAAATGATGGTGACTCACCATCTTGAAAATCCTAAATCCTCCACTGCTTAGAATTGGTATAGTACGATCATCAGAGACTACACATGAACTAGGAGAAGATACATTTTTAGGTATCCCAACTCTTATGGAGGTCCTATTAAACTCAAATTAAAGGACTTTTCACTAAGAACTCTTTTAAAGGATAAGTTAAATTTGGCACTCGTAAACATAATAAACATCTAAGACCAATCAACATGTAAAACATACTCTATAAGATCATTTCCAAGAGATTATAGATTGAAGAATGAGGCCATGTGTTAAAACTCCTTTATCTCTCTCACCCAAAGTAGATTCCTCTCCATGGGTAAGGGAACCGATGTGAACTATGTTGTTGATTCAAATAAAATTTCTTACTCATGTGTAATGCAAACCTCATTCACCGGACTATAGAAGTCGTGTACTATAATTGTTTGCCATCTAAAACGGTGTAAAAAAGAATTATATGGTCCTGAGCCATTATTAATTAGTTACACTCCTTATTAGTTCTTACCAAAATTAGTAACAAGTTTTTATACATGGTTCTAAATGCAATACTACTGTTTATATACGAAGTATTATTTTTATCGATTTTCTTTGTAAGGAAAAAAATTTGTGATGAAATATAGATTTCAGATCATATACTTGCCCCCTCCTACACTACCTACTTTGAATTTTCCTTACCCTCACCCCTCCAAGAAATTAGAAATTAAAGACTAGGTTAGTTTTACATCACCCTTCAAAATCTTTAGATTTTGATGGATTCTATGCCTTTTTCTAGAAGCTTATTAGGGCAAGGATGGAAAACATCTATGACTTCTGCTAAAATCTTCCAAACCAGATCGATTCTACCAAGAGAAAATGCCACATACATAAAGGTTGACACTCATATACTTCGTACAGAGTATATGTTAAACAGCTAGACCCATCAACATGTGCAACATACCGTCAAGATTAGTTTAATTCTCATAAAAAGAGGCCTCGGCCTTTAAAACTACATTAAGGCCTTATCGGGCAATTAGCAGGTAGTTGATTGACATAGTTGGTTGTATTATGTGGTTTGACTAGCTTAGCCGGTTGTATTGTCTTGTTTGACTAACTGGTTAATTATAAATAGCTGATTGCTTAAATTGTTTGGTCAATAATTGTATATTATTAGTTGTTTCAATATATGTAATAACCAAAAAGCTATATTATTCAATAATCTAATTTAAAAAGTTTCCATTTTAAATCAAAAAGATCTTTTTGAGCCTAAAGGCTCTTTCAATAAGCTATTTACCAAACACTCAAATTAGATTTTTCATAAACCTTGTAATAGGCTCAATAAACTTAAATCACTTTGAAAAACGCTTTACCAAACAAGGCAAAGTAGATTCTTCCATGGGCAAGGGAATTGTCGTGAAAATATTATTGACTTGAAATCTCTTACAAAAGTGTAATGTAGACCACGTTCACACGACTATAGATGTAGTTCATCGTCCATTTGTTTGCCATCTAACTAAAGCGGAAGAAAGTATTGTATGGTCCTAAACCATTATTGATTTCCCTCAGTCTTTCCTTACCAAAATCATTTTACAAAGTAATTATTTTTTCGGTTTTCAATTCTTTCCAAAAACAAAAATCTATTATTGACATTTGTAATTGATCTCATCTCAAACTAAGCAACAATGGTAATGGTGAGAAGTGTAGAAAGTTGTTTACATCATTATTCATTACTATCACCATTGTCCATGGTTGATGACATTTGATAATTAAATG